AAATATCTGGTGTTTGGAACTTAACCCTACTGGTAAGTAAGGAGTGGGTTTATAATGAGCCTCATCTCTCTGTCAAGCAGGTTCAATGGTTATCTGCTTTGACAAATCTCCCTAGTCTCATCCTCTCATAGATATAAAAGAAGATCCAATGCCTTTTGTTGCTTCAAGTCATGTATTGGTTTAGAAAAAATTTTCCCCTCGTTCTTTCTATTGCTTACTTCCTTATTTTATCAGCACCATTCTAGTTCTTTTATTTTCCTTTTGGCACTGCAGGTCTGATAATCCAACTCTGCCAGCTTAACAATTCGTTCATAACAACTCAGCTGTGCATGTGGAGCCAGACCAGCAGTCTCTCCAGTAAGGCTGTCTTCTGCTCGGTCTCTACAATGACAGTGAGGAAATCATTGATACACATCAGGGTGATTTCTGTGCTGCTCTAGCTTGGATTATTTCTGTTAATAAGTGCTCACTTCCACGCCAGGCCTTCTGAACACTCCACCTCTCTGAAAGTGGTGATGCCTTTTAAGAGGACTGGTAGAGGCAAAGGATCGAGGGTTCCTGGCTAATTCTCCTACTGCCTACAATTTGGAGGGCCAAAGAATATTATCCACTTAAACACCAAGAAAATCTTAGTTTCCTGCCATCTCCTAGTGTTCACTCACCTATACAGACAAGTATGCCTTCAATGAGGATCAGTCATTTGTCAAGGATGACTGCTACTGTCATGGCTTTATGGAAGGGAACTTTAAGTTCTGGTTATTTTCAGGATATATTGAGGAAGCTTCAAAGGGATGCTAGAGACAAATGGCCTTGCTTATGAAGTTTAACCCAGGAAACACTGCTACATTTGAATACCTGGTGTATAAGATAGAGAGAAATAAGACACAGTCTTAAGCTACGAGATGTGGCTTACTTAATATAAGAAGAAATGGTATACTAATTAAAATTACACAAGACATATAATTCCACATTGAAGCAAAGTTCTTATTGTGGCTGGTGGACCTAGAAATGCTTTTTTGAGTAGATTCCTTTACTCACTGAGAAGTATCTCAGTAATACAAGAGGATGTGTTTACTCATATTTAACTTTGTGAATTCGTTATATTAGAGGTCAATGTGTTTCCTGGTTGGTATTGAGCGTTGGACTAGAGGAAACCCATCACTACTGAATAAAATTAATACGTCTATGCCTGAATTTAGAATTTGAAGGAAATCCAAACTCAGTAAAAGAATGCTAAATAATGTTACAACTTTTTAATAAATGAATCATACAGTTACTAGCTGTTTCTTCATATGTAAGAGGATTATTCATGCCAATATAAAATTGTGAAGTTATTAGTTCCTTAAGACAAAGGTTTTTTTTTTTTTCATTTACCACTTATTGTAGTTCATCAGATTAGTTACAATTTGGATATGAATCATGACAACCGCTGGTCTATCTAGTAAGAATCAATATTGCTGAACATATTCTTTCAAAACAGGCAAATTGTATTTAGTAACTGCAGTTATGTAGGCTTCTGGGACTATACTCACAAAGGACGTTTATAGCTTTATCATCCTCAGCATGCAGAGCCCATCTTTAGACTGGGTTTTTGTGGAAACTGGTTGAAGGAGGAGAGGAATGTGACTCTGTGTGTTGATGATCTGCACAATCTTCCAGTTTACACTCATAGTCTAGAGGCTGCTTGTGCTTTTGGGTTATGTTGTAAAGATTGCTATTTCATTCACTTGAATGTGATTTTCTAGAGTGGTGCAATAGTACTTCTCATCAATGCACAGAAGACGTGTATGCGAAGGAAGGGAAACACTGCCATGACAGTACTGATTGCTATGATAAATGAGAGAGACTAGTCATGATAAACAACATAAAGAGATTTTTGGTCAAGATGCAAAAAAGTGCCTATCAGCTGCAATAACAGACAGTATCAACCCTCAAGAACATTGTTTTGATTGCAATGGTGTCAAATACAAATTGTACCTAAAATGTCATATTCTGATACACTGTGTGGAAGAATTAAATGTGACAATGTGAGAAGACTTCCTAGGCTGAATCAACATTCAATGGCAAAACTTGGGGCACTGACTATTATGTGAGGATGGCCATACTGGATATTTATCTAGTGAAGAATGGCATAGTGTGTGGCCTAGAAGAGATCTGCATTCAAAGTAAGTGTATTCCCCTGTCTACTTCGTCACAAGATTGCTCTCTTGAGACTTACAACATGAAAGGCATTTTACTGTTGTTAGATGTCATTGAGTCAAGGATGACTCATATAGACCTTATGAATAGCCGACCTGAATCCTCCCCTATCCTGTGCCATCCTCATCATCTCTGACACACTGTTGAAGTCACTGTGTCAATATACATTGTTGTGAGTCCTCCTTTCCTTCAGTGACCCTCCATTTTTCTAAGCATGATGTCCCATTCCAAGGAATAACCTCTCCTAGTTACATGCTTGGGCTTTATGAGGAGAAATGTGCCATCAAGTTTAGAGAATGAGTCATCAACAACCTACATTATGCAGATGACACAACCTTGCTTTCTGAAATTGAGGAGGACCTGAAGTGACTTCAGAAAGTCAAGGACTACAGTCTTCAATATGGATTGAAGTTCAACATCAAGCAAACTAAGATTCCAACCACTGGGCCAATTGGTAGCACCATGATAGATGGAGAAGAGATTGAAGTTGTTAACAATTTCAGTTTGTTCAACTCCACAATCAACACTCTTGGCACCCCCAGTCAGAAAATCAAAAGACAAATTGCACTGGAAAAATCTACTGTTAGAGACCTCTCCAGAGTATGAAGATACAATGATGTCAGTATAAGAGACTAAGGTGTGCCTGAACCAGAAGATGGTCTTTGCCATTACTTGCTATGCGTCAAAGGAAGAGCTGGACAGTGACTAAGAATGACAGAAGAAGAAGGAAGCAATGTCTTTGAGTTGTGTTGTTGGGGAAGATTATTGAACATACCATGGACTACTAAGAGAACAAATAAGTCTTCCTTGAAGAGGCTAAAACCAAGTTTCTCCTAGGAGGCAAGGATTTTGAAGCTCTGTCTTTGGGCATGTCTTGAAGAAAGGACCAGTCTTGAAGAAAGATACCATGTTTGTAAGGATGGAGGAACAGTGCAGGAGAGGAAGACCATAGACGAGATGGATTGATGCCGTAACTGGGGTGATGGGGTTAGGTGTGTTGAAGTCAGTGAAAATGGCTTAGGTTAGAGCAGACTTCAGAGCTGTTTGCACATAGGATCGTTATGAGTTGCAGGTGATTTGATGACACATAACAACAAAAATCTCCCAGTATTGCAACTGGAGGCTTTAATTCCACCCCCTCCCGGACTTCTTTTAGCTTGAGGAATGCTGAGCAAGTTCTTCTCGTTTTATTCTCTAATTTTAGCCCTCTGCACATTCTGTTATAATAATTTACTTGGTCTTCTCTACATGCCCATTGAAATCTTCTGTTTGGCTTTTCCCCCTTTAGCTTCTCTTCCCTTGTTTTGACTTATAATACTATAACTGTCTATATTCGTCAATTATTCATAGGGTTTTCAGAAACCTGTACTTTTAAAAGTGTATGACCATCTTGCCTTCTATTCTGTCTTAATCTGGGAGCTCTGTTGAAACCTGTGCACCAACGGTGGCCCTTCTTGCATTTAATACACTAGTGACATAACTTTCAACATTTTGCAGGATGTACTACTCCAAATCACTCTTCTACTTTTCCAGGTCTCTCTCTGTTGGCTCTGTGAATTGAGGAGTTGATAAGCAGCAGAAATTCACCTGAGTGGTAGACAGTGACTAAAGATGACAGAAGAATTGATGCCTTTGAGTTGTGGAGTTGGAGAAGAGTACTAAACATCCCATGGATTTCTAAAGAAAACAAACAAGTCTACCTTGTTGTTGTTAAGTGCCAAAGAGTTGTAGATGACCCATCGCAACCCTATAAACAAAAGTCTTGAACACAAACTTTCAAGTCTATCTTAGAGGAAGTATAACCAGATTGATGCTTAGAGACAAGAATGTTGAAACTTCATCTCATGTATTTTGGGTGTGTTGTCAAGGGGTGCAATCCTTGGTAAAGATATCAAACTGGGAAATATGGAGGGTCAGTGGAAGAGAGGAAGACTCTCACAGTGACTGTAGCAATGACATCAAGCATATTGGAGATCATGAGGTTTGCAAAGAATAGAGCAAGGGTCAGACCTATCATCCGTAGGGTTGCTAAGAGTGGTAGTCTATGGGATGGTACCTAATAACAACTTCACTTATCAGCTATCTTGTTATCCAGCATATTACATTTATGACAATAATAAAAAGTCTACTATCTGTTTTGCACATTAACAATAATCAAGCAGTAGTATATGTTAAGGTGCAAAGATTTTAGCTATGATGTTGAAGGCTATGCATGAACTTGGCTGGGTCATGATTCTCGGAGATTTGGAAGTTATGTACTAATGTGACTAGACAGAAAAGGCTATGATTTTGCAGCTATAGAATGTTTTGATTTGACAGTTATGTAGTGATGTAATTTGGCAATTACATGGTAGGATAATATTCCCCCATTTTTGTATAATGATTATTTTCCAATAAGATTTAGTGTTTGGAACCTAATCATGCTGGTGAGTAAGCAGTGGGTATTTAATTATACATTATAGATCATCATCCAGTTTCAATAATTATCTGCTTTTGATAAATCTTCATTCATCTCCTTGGAGTTTAACCTCACTTCCATACGAAAAGTACATGAAAGAAAATTTAGGGTAATATATTGTTTCAAGCCTTATCCCAGTCCAAGAATAATTTTTACCCCACTTCATTCTGTTCCTTATCCCACCAGCACAATTCTAGCTCTTTTATTTTTACTTTCAGCACTGCAGCTCTGACATTTCAACTCTGCCAGGATATGGATCCGTAATAATTCATCCCTACACACTGAGCCAGACCAGCAGTGTCTTCTACCCTACCCTCTTCTATGCTGGAAAACTACCTTCACAATGACAGTGAGGAAGACATTGATGAGCATCAGGGTGATTTTTGTGCTGCTCTGGCTTGGAGAATCTCTGTCAATACGTGGTCACTCACAGGTCAAGTCTTCCAACCACTTCACCTCTCCAGAAACGGTGATCCCCTTGAAGGTGACTGGCAGAGGTAGAAATCCAAGAGCTGGCTGGCTGTCTTACAGCCTGCGGTTTGGGGGCCAGAAACACATTATCCACATGAAGGTCAAGAAGATCTTAGTCTCCAGACATATCCCAGTGTTCACCTACACAGACCAGTATGCTCTCCATGAGGATCAGCCTTTTATCCAGGATGACTGCTACTTTCATGGTTATGTGGAAGGGGACTATGAATCTCTGGTTGCTCTCAGTACCTGTTTGGGGAGCTTTCAAGGGATACTACAGATAAATGGTCTCCTATATGAAATTGAACCCATGAAGTGCTCTGCCACTTTTGAACACCTGATATATAAGGTAGATATAAGTGAGACACACTCTCCACCTATGAGATGTGGCTTAACAGAAGAAGAAATAGCACATCAGCTGATGTTGCAAAAGACATATAATATAACACTTAAAAAGTCTTATGACTGGTGGAGCCACACACGTTTTATTGAACTGGCAGTGGTGGTAGACCATAATCGATTCCTTTATTCACTTGAAAATACTTCAGTGGTACAGCAGGATGTAGTAACTGTTGTCAGTTTTGTGGATGCCTTATATAAACCTATAGATATCAACGTGGTTTTGGTTGGTATTGAGATCTGGAATAATGGAAACCCTCCTTTAGCAAATGATGCTAAAATAGCTCTTGGTGAATTTAGAGATTGGAAGAAATTGCACCTGAATACACGATTGCCAAGTGATACTACATTCCTTTTCCTAAATCAAACATATGGTATAACACTTGGTGTTGCCTATGTTGGTACAATATGTTCATCTACATTAAATTGTGGACTTATTAGTTTCGTAGGAAAAAAATTATTTTCTTTAGCCCTCACTATATCTCACGAACTTGGTCATAATTTAGGTATGGTCCATGATCACCCATGGTGTGTATGTGGGACCCAATGGTGCGTAATGTATCCTTCCATAAAATATACAACTGAGTTCAGCAATTGTAGTTATGCTCAGTATTGGGACAATACAAACAGAAAAGCTAAATGTCTTAGCAATCTTCCACTTCCAGAGCAGGTCTTTAGACTGACCTTTTGTGGAAACCAAGTGGTTGAAGAAGGAGAGGAATGTGACTGTGGGACCATATATCAGTGTTCTAGAGACCCTTGCTGTCTTCCAGACTGCACTCTAAGTCCAGGGGCCTCTTGTGCTTTTGGGCTTTGTTGTAAAGACTGCCATTTTCTTTACTCAGGGTATTTGTGTAGACCACAGATTAATGAATGTGATCTTCCAGAGTGGTGCAATGGAACTTATCATCAATGTCCTGAAGATGTGTACGTGAAGGATGGGATCCCCTGTGGTGACAGAGCCTACTGCTATGAAAAGAGATGCACAAACCATGATACACAATGCAAAGAGATTTTTGGTGAAGATGCAAAAAGTGCATCTCAGAGCTGTTACAGTGATGTCAACACTCAAGGAAATCGTTTTGGTCACTGTAGTATTGAAGACAGAACCTACCTAAAATGTAACATTTCTGATATCCTGTGTGGAAGAATTCAGTGTGAAAATGTGAGTGTACTTCCCAGTCTGCATCAACATTCTACAGTGCACCAGGTGCACTTCAATGGCACCACTTGCTGGGGCACTGACTATCATGTAGGGATGTCCATACCTGATATTGGTCTAGTGAAGGATGGCTCCGTATGTGGTCTAAAAAAGATCTGCATTCATAGTAAGTGTGTTCCCCTCTCTACTTTGTCACAAGATTGTCATCCCAAGACCTGCAACATGAAAGGTAGCTGTAATAATAAAGATCATTGTCACTGTGACCATGGGTGGGCGCCTCCCGACTGCTTGTTAAAAGGTCGTGGAGGTAGTTATGATAGTGGACCACCTCCTTACAAAGAGCAGGTGGAAATTGGAATTTTGAAACATCTGTTGTTATTTGGGATTATTTGTTTGACTCTTTTATTTTTATCTTTATTCTTTGTGATTTTTAAGAAAAACAAAAAAGAGATGGGGAAAAAAGAACTTTTAAAAGCAAGTCACAAAGAAAAGGAAAGAATGACTAAAAACAAAAAAAAATGAGAAGAATGAGTCTCATCTCTTCCAATATATCTCAGATTTTTCTTTTTGTGGCAAATACTCATTAGCACATATCTTAGGGATTAGAAGAAAACTCAGGAATCCCAAATGTCCAAAAAATAAACATTATATAGCACACAAAATAATCCTTAGTATGTTTCTTTTTACTCTTAAATGTTTTCAGAGATACTTAAAGTCCATTTTCCTACAAATCATCTTTCAATTTTTAATTTTCCGGGAAATGCATAGGAACAGCTTTTTAAGCTTTGTCTCTTAGTTCTAAGTCCATTTCCAATTTTATACCCTTTCAATAAGTACACAGTGCTGTTCAGACCTTGTTACTGTTAAGTGCCATTCAGTAAACGACAATTCAGCAACACTGCTAATAGTGGTCTTGAAACCTTTTCTGTTCTGTGCCAGCCTCCTAATTTCCAACATACTTGAGCTCGCTGTTACAGTTCCAGTGTTAATCCATTTCACTGAAGATCACCGTCTCTCACTGACCCTCCACCTCTCCAAAAATAATGTCCTTTTGCAAGGACTAGTTCCTACTAAATACTAGCCCAAATTATGTCAGATGAATTTTTACTATCCTTGCCTCCAGGGAAAACCCTGGCTGCATCTTTTCCAAGACATACTTGTTTGTCCTTTTGGCAGTCCATGACAATCCTTCTTCAGTACCACAAGTCAACGGCATCATCAACTCTTCTGTCATCCTTGTTCATTGTTGAACTTTCAGATGCATAACGAGGTTTGGAAAAGAATGGCTTAAATCAGTTGCACTTTAAACTTCAAACCGACATCTTTACTCTTCATCATTTTGGAGAACTCTCTGGCAGTATACTTTCCCAGTTCAGTATGTCTTTTTATTTCCTAGCTGATGATGCCTGCACATCTGGCAGTTCTCTGTTGATGTGCTGTTGCAGTAATTTCTGGATAATTTCAGCAGGATCTTGCTTATATGTGGTATTAATGATATTGTTCGATAGTTTCCACACTCTGTTGGGTCACCTTTTTTTTAGGAATGGAAATAAATATGGATCTCTTCCAGTCAGATGGCCAGGTGATTGTCCTCCAATTTCTTGGCACAACATGGTGAGCATATCTAGGGAAGCATCTGCCTGTTGAAATATGTAAATTGGTATTCCATCAATTAATGGGTCTTTGTTTTTGTGTTTCTTCAGAGCAGCTTGAACTTCCTCCTTCATCATCATGGGCTCTTGATAATCCATTGTTTCATTAAACTATTCTATCAGCCAATTCTTCTTGATATAGTGACTCTGTAGCCCTACCATCTTCTTTTAATGCTTCCTGGGTCATTCAGCATTCTGCCCACACCATCCTTAAGTATGGAAACTCAAGGCTTGAATTTGTTCTTCAGTTCCTTTAGCTCAAGAAATTCTGAGCGAGTTCATGTCTTTTGATTTTCGAAGTGCAGCTTTTGTGCATTTTATTATAATATTTTGCTGTGTATTCATGTGCTTCCATTAGAAATTTCCTGTACAGAGTCTTAATTGCTTGCGTTTTTCCCTTTGCGTTGGCTTCTCTAGTGCAATAGTCAGAGTCTCTTCTGACATCCATCTTGGTCTTTTCTTCTTTCTGTATCTTTGTAATGATGTTTTGCATTTTTCATGGATAATATTCTTGATGTCCTCTGACAGCTCATCTTGTCTTCACTCATTAGTATTCAAGGCCTCAGACCTGTTCCTTAGATAGTCTTTAAATCCAGGAGGGATAGACTCAAGGTTAAACTTTGGTTCTTGAGGATTTGAATTTATTTTCTTAAGCTTCAGTTTGAACTTGCATATGAGTAGCTGATGATGTGTTCCATAATTAACACCTGGCCTAGTTTTTACAGCTGATATTGAGCTTCTCCAACAGTTTCCCCAACATATATAGTCAATTTTATTCCCTTGTACGTCACAGGTAAGGTCCATGTGAATAGTTGCCTTTTATGTTTCTTATCAAAGGTATTTATAATGAATAAATCATTGATTGTACAGAATTCTATCATTCTGTCTTGTTTGATAATTTCTGCATTCTGTTAGACCACCTTTTCTACAAACCACAATTCTCTTTTTGTTTGCTTATTTTAATTTATTATTTATTTTTACTATCATTTATGTTTTCATTTTATATTTATTTGTATAGAAAAATTTGTATACATTGCATTTCATTGTATACATTTTATTGTATTTCATTCATATACATCATGTTTTACATGTTTTACCAGCTTCTCGAATTATTTGCTCAGCATATAGATTGAATAGGTATGGAGAAAGAATACAACCCTGACTCACACCTTTCTTGATCTTAAATCATGAAGTGTTCCCTTGTTGTACTCAAAAAAGTGCTTCTTGGTCTATGTACGGGTTTCCCATGAGCACAATTAAGGTTCTGGGATTCTCATTATTCTTAATGTTATTTGCAATTTGTTATGGAGACAAATACATTTGCAGAGTCAATATAACACAAGTAAATATCTTTCTGGCATTCTCTACTTTCAGTCAAGATTCTTATGATATCAGCAATAATATTCCTAGTTTCAGGTCCTCTTCTGAATCACTTCCACATATATGTACTACTTCAACCATTTAAAAACTATCTTCAACATGATTTTGCTTGCATGTGATATTAATAATATTGTCTGATAGTTTTCGTATTCTGTTGAATCCCTATTTTTTAAATGGAAAAAATTTGAATCTCTTCTAGTTAGTTGGTCAGATCTTCATATTTGTTGTCAAAGATGAGTGAGCACATCTAGGGTATAACATTTATTTGATGAAATATGTCATCTGACATTTTATCAGTCCCTGGACCATTTGGATTTCTATTTTTACAATATTGGTCTTATGCAGTATTTGTCCTTAAGAGATTGGATTACTCAACATAATGCTCTTCAGTCTCTCCAATGTTAGGTAACAATTTTTGAAATTGTTACTCCTGAGTGCTGCATAATATTCCATCATGTGACTATACCACAATTTCTCAATCATTCAATTGTGGTTGAACATCTAAGCTGTTTCCATGTTCTTGCAATTATGAATAATGCTGCTATGAACATTGGCATACAAATTTCCATTTGTGTCTCAGTTCTAATTTCCTCAGAGTATATTCCTAGTAGTTGAATAGCTGGGTCATATGGAATTTCTGTGTTTAGCATTTTGAGGAAATGTCAAATTGCCTTCCAGAGTGGTTGTTCCACTTTACAATCCCACCAACATGTATGAGATTCTCTATCACTCCACATTCTCTCCAACATTTATTGTCCTGTTAAATTTTACCAGTGCAACTTAGGTGAGATAGTATCTCATTGTGTGTTCTTTTTTTAAATAAAACAAATATTTTTTTTTGGTGCCTGCATTTTACCAAGCATAGTGCCTAGTATTTCTGATAATACTGAAAGGAAATCGCTGTATAACTGGACATTGAAAAATTCATATCACTTGGAAATTCAGCAGAGAAGTTATGAAAACTGCCAAACTATTAATGGCACAACACTTTGTCAGAAAACTCACCATCTGTTTCCTAGTGGAGGAATCTGAAGATTCCTGAGAGTTAAGCAACGGGTTGGCAGAAACAGCTGGAGTACCAACCAACTTGGGAAGGTGGAGCCAAAGAGCTGAAAAAGGAGGTAAAGGCTTATTGTGGTTTTGATTTACATCTCTTTTATTGCCAGTGATTTTGAGCATGTCTTCATGTACAACCTATGATATGCAGATGATAACAACCTTACTTGCTGAAACTGAAGAAGGTCTGAAGCTCTTGCTACAAAAGGTCAAGGACTATAGTATTCAATATGGATTGGAGCTCAACATCAAGAAGACAAAGATTTTCACCACTGGGCCAATTGGTAGCACCATGATAAATGGAGAAGAGATTGAGGTTGTTAGCAATTACAGCTTACTTGGCTCCATAATCAACACTCTTAACACCAGCAGTCAGGAAATCAAAAGATGAATTGCATTGGGAAAATCTGCTCTTAGGACCTCCCAGAGTGTTGAAAAGCAATAATGTCAGTCTAGAGATGAAGGTGTGTCTAATCCAGGCCATGCTTTTCTCAATAACTTCTTATGCTTCAGAGAACTGGACAATGACTAAGGAAGAAAAAAGAAGAATGCCTTTGAGTTGTAGTGCTGGAGAAGAGTCTTGAACATACCATGGACTGCCAAGAAAATAAATTGGTCTGTTTTGAAGAGGGTGAAACCAAGTCTCTCCTTGAAATCTAGGATTTTGAAGCTATATCTCACATACTTTTGGCACATGGTCAGAAGAGAACAGTCCTTGGAGAAGGACATCATGCTCAAAATGGTAGAGGGACAGTGCAGGAGAGTAAGGCCCTGGATGAGATGGATTGATACGGTATCTGGGGCAATGAGGATTGGTGTGCCAGAATTAGTGAGACTGGCTCAGGACAGGAAACGGTTCTGAGCTGCTGTACATAGGGTTGCTATACATCGCAGGTGACTCAATGGCACATAATAGCAACAACATATGTTGTTTTTTTTTTTTAAATTAATTTAAACCTCTTGTTTAGAGTCAACAAGACCTTGGGGAGAGCCTTTGTATTTAAAAGTCAGTTGTTATTATATTTTTGAGGAACCTTCTAAGTGATACAGCACTTTTCCATCAATATAGTGTACTGAGGTAAGCTAGAGTTGCTGTGATGCTGAACATTGTGCCTTTGGGGTGTCAAATGGTATAATGGTTACTCACGGTGGATGGTATTTGGTGGAGCCCTCAGTTTAAGACAGGTTTGGAAGCAGGAGTGGAATCCACTTCCAAAAAATTGTGCCTCTGGAAACTCTATGAACTTTGATAACTAT